CCTGGGACCTTGCCAAAAGAGCAAGTACCCAGGGCAATCCCCTTTTTTATTGGACATGTGCGGGCGAGCAGGAGAACCGAGTCATGGGGGCAGCTGCGAAAAGCGTGCACGCGGGACCAACATTCTACGTTACACTGTTGTAAAAGATCTTGCCCGAGGCGCGCTGATCGCAGTGCGCCTCGGGCAAGATCTTTTGCCTGAGCACGTGTGCGCGTGCAATGTTTGCGTCGCGTGTGGGCTCTTCAAATCTGCTCCCTTGGCGCGTCACCTCCTGTTCGTGACAAAAGAAAATTATTGCGCACCGCATGTGCTCAACAAGGAAAGGGGTTTGCAACATCAGCGGGGCTACTTGACGACCAAACGCACTTATCGAATCACAACACACACGAACTAATGACGATATGTGCAATACAGAAGCACATCAAATAAACAACAATGCTCATGTGCAAAACGAAACACAACACCAACACAAAACAACAGTTGAATCAGATATTGCGTTGCTTGTCAGAAGAGATTGCTTGTTTTGCCGACTCCTCCTCCACCTCGCCCCCTCCAGCACCCCCATTCGATCCACCTCTCCCACCCCCCCACCACCTTCCACCGCCGCGACCTGGATGGTCGACGGGTTGGCTGCTGCTGGCCACCCTCGAGGGGCGCGCGTGCCATTTGCGACGTGAGCATTGCCCTGGCATGGTATTTCCTGGCGGTGAGAAGACATTGCGCTGTTGTTCGCATTCCTGGGGGCAGGGGGGGGTAAATGTGGCCCACAATGGATGAGCGGAGATTGCGTTGATTTGTTGTTCGTCGGGCGCCGGCTGCGGGGCAGCCAGGTGCCCGAGGCCGGCGTGGGCGAATTCTGAGCGCTGCAGATTTCTACGGATGAGAAAAAAGATGGGAGACGAGATTGCGTTGTTATTTGTCGTTGCTCTGTCGGTCTGGAGTGCCCGAGCGGCTTCCAGGCGGCCCCTGCGGTGAGGCAGCTGCGCTGCGTGGCCATCGATTTTACTTGTTGCTTCTACGAGTTAGATGAGAAGAGGAGGAGGAGGGGGGAGGGGGGAAGCGGGAATGTGGGAGAGGAGGAAGGAAGCGGGGGACAATAGATGAGAAGACATTGCGTTGTTCGCTGCTCTGGCACCGAAGTGGCTGCAACGCAGGCGCAGGCCGCTGCGCAACGGTGAACGGTTGAAGCCCATCGCCCAATCCGAGTTTAGAAGGGGTGAGGGTGTGTAGCGGAGAAAGGAGTGAAGGACTGTTAAGGGAAATTGGATGAGAATTCATTGCGTTGTTTGTTGCTCGTCCCACACATCGGGTGTCTCGAAAAAATCGAGACGACAATATTTCATGATTGTATGATTTCTGTTGGTGTGGGATTTCACGTGCAGGCCCTCGGGGCCGTCAAATAACAATTCGAAAGATCGGGGCGCCTGATGCGTGGAGGGCACAGGGGGCCTATGGCCTCCTGGCCCAGGCGGCGCCCATCGCGGGCTCACGGACTCCATGGAGAGCACTTTATGTACCGTTTCACAGCGTTTCACTCGCAACTATTGCGTTGTTGCTGCCCTGACAGAGATTGCCGGGATCGCCACTACGGTGCGCTTGAACGATTTCATCAACAATTTCCACGCGCGGTCGCTGTTTTTGTCCCCTGGGGGAAAGGGACAGGGGCATAGTATTCAGACGGGGTAATGATAAGAGATTGCGCTGTCGGCTGGCCCCGCCGGAACGGGCGCCTGTTTGCCCAGTCAGCTGCTGCTTTCTCCAGCCAACTTAACGTTCCGAAGAGGAGCAGAGATTGCGTGATTGTTGTTTTGCGTCAGGCGCGCATGCAGCCCACGTGGCTGCATCGCCAAGCACGCGGTGAGCATATTGGAAACCCATACATCCGACGTCTCATTTTTTTCGAGACGCGGGCCCCCGACCTCCCGACCACTTCCCTGGGACTAGTTTTTCATCCCGGGTGGTTTTTTGACGGTCCCGGCGCCCAGCGAGGGCCCCGAGAGGCCAACAACTATGTAACGCCTCTGTCTCAATTTTTTCGAGACGCCCAATGTCTGGGAATACTTGCAGCGTCGCCACCGCGCGTTATGCATTTCCATCCTTCCCGAGGGTGAAATTGGGAAAATCAGGGAGAGAAAAGGGGGGAATTCAAGGCAGAAGGAGGACAAGTAGGGGAGGTGATGAATGGAAATTGCGTTGTTTGGTTTGTTGCGTGCACGGCGCCGCACTCGACAATTCCATGTCGAATTTCCCGATGACCGCGGAGAAGGATCCGAACATACTTGGCGAATAGAGGTGGACACAGATTGCGTTATTGTGTGTTTTCGGTGGCGGGGAAGACCACCGCCGCCAGCCCTTCTGCTCGACTTCCGCTTTGCAGGTGTCCCCCTGGCAACGATTGCAAGGATAATTGGAAAATGGATAGGGAACCGCGTGGTAATATTGTAGCACCGTAAATAACAACGCGAAACAGCATGGTCATGCCAACACATACATGAACACAAACACACTGCCATGCATATACGTATACACATATATTCCATACACTTTAACATATACGTACGCGTGCAGTTGTATTCATGTGTGTATATATACAAATATGATGTTTGTTCCACCACCCTTATGTTTCACCACCGTGGGCTGTTTCACCGCCCTGCTGATTTGGGGTCGCGTTTCTTCTCAGGCCTCGAGCCCCTGGCGGCGCCGGCTGCGGGCCTTTGACACTTCCGAGAACGGCGCCCCTGCGCGTTCCCGTCCGAGAGCGGTGCCCTACACACTTGCGTGCTACAGTGCAAAACTGAAGAGAGAGAGAGAGAGAGAGAGAGAGAGAGAGAGAGAGAGAGAGAGAGAGAGAGAGAGAGAGAGAGAGAGAGAGAGAGAGAGAGAGAGAGAGAGAGAGAGAGAGGAGAGAGAGAGAGAGAGAGAGAGAGAGAGAGAAGAGAGAGAGAAGAGAGAGAGAGAGAGAGAGAGAGAGAGAGAGAGAGAGAGAGAGAGAGAGAGAGAGAGAGAGAGAGAGAGAGAGAGAGAGAGAGAGAGAGAGAGAGAGAGAGAGAGAGAGAGAGAGAAAGAAAAAGAGAGCGAGAGAGAGGGAACGAGAGCCAGGAACAATTGAAAACAGTAAAGACCTTAAGACTCGTCGCTCCGGGCCCATATTTTTCTACATGCGGTCGCCCTTCGGGGCACCGCCCTTCGGGGCGAAGCTTCCATCCCAGGATGAGAAGAGATTGCGTTGTTGTTGCAGCGCATATGTCGCGTACGCGCGCGCATTTTTACGATGATCCAGAACTGTTTGCCTTGCCTAAACAATCGTCGTCATCCCGCGTGTTTGCGTATCTGGTGGGTTCTCTGTCCGCACTGCCCCCCGGCCCTGACTCGCCAAACTATCCTCTAGGCTTCCGCCTGTGCTCCGGTACCCTTGAGGCGCAGAGGCGTTGCTACCAACGCCCAACGACACAGTTCCTAGCTCACAATGCACGCGGTTGCAACAACAGTCTGTTGTTGGCAACGCTTTGGTATATCAGAAAAGCCGTTTACATGCACGCAACATCTTCACAACGAACCAACGACAACAGACGCGCTATTTCACCAGAACTACAGTTGTCTCGTTGTTTTTGCAGCGTCTTGGTTTTTCTGCTTTGTCTTGGTTAAAAACCATGACGTTCTGGGCGACATTGTTTTTTTAGGTCTGTCTGATGTCTGGGACGGTGGAAGACGCCGCCCTTCGGCTGGCGCACGCTGCCGCGCCGGCGGCGCGGGGCCCTGGCGCGCTCACCCCGTTCTTGGCGCCCAGAATCGTGCTCGAGCTGCCCCGCGCCAACGACGCCGTCGAACGCGCCCCTGGCGCGCTGGCCAGGGCGCAGGCGGCCGCGCGCAAGCTACCGCTGTCATGGGCTGCATCGCGGATGCGCACGCCCTCCTTTCATGACTCACCTCGTCCAGGGTCATCAACGAGAACGGGCGCAAGGCGCCTGCTGGGCGTCTCCAATGAGAATGTAGCACGCATCGTCGTGGCCCGCGGCGCGCGCAACATGCTCCGAGCTGAGTGCGCGGTCGACCGCGAGGCCGCGATCTCGGCCGCTCGCGCTGCGCTTCGGGCCTCGAGGACGACGCGCAGACCGCCGCGGGCGCATCGGGCGCCTCTCCCTGCTGCTGGAGCCCAAGCGCTTGATCCTCGACCAGTTCACGAACGCGGAGTTCGCCGCCCTCGTCGCGGCCGACACCTTCGACCCGCGGGGGCGCTTGTGAGCAGGTGCTAGCCGCGGAAGTCGAGGCGCCGCCCCGCGCGCGGAGCGGGCGGCGCCGCGCCGTCGGCGGAGACCGAGCGCCCTCGGCACGCTCGACTCCCCCTCCTCCTCCTCCCCCTCCTCCTCCTCCCCCTCCTCCTCCTCCTCCTCCCTCCTCCTCCCTCCTCCTCCTCCTCCTCTCCTCCTCCTCCTCTTCTTCCCCTCCCCCTCCCCCTCCCTCCCCCCCCCCTCCTCTTCCCCCCCCTTCCCCCCCCCCCCCCCCCCTCCCTCCCTCCATCCCTTCCTCCGTGCCTCCGCCCTCCCTTCTTCCCCCCTTTCTCTCCTCGCTCTGCCCAGTCCGTAGCCATTTTGGCTCGAGCCCGCAGTGGCGTGCCCGGGACTTGACCTTCTGGCGCGGGGGAGGAGCGGCCCCCGACAGCGCGTGCTTCGTGAGTGCCTGCCCTGGCGCGAGACACCTCTCCTTGCGCGCGCGTCTGAATGCTGTTAGCGGGTTTCCCGCTAGTCACCGGCGCAATTTCGTTTTCGGTCGCCGCTGCGGAAGGCGCGCGGCACCTTCTTCTGTCGCGTCGACCAACGGTCACAAGCAGAAGAGCCAAACATGGGCAATACCTTCGTTTTGCAAGCATTGTTGGTCTCATCAGACGAGATAGGTGGTGGAATCGAGCAGACCAGGGCCAGCGTTCGCTGCGCAAGCAGCCCGAACCGACGGCGATTGCCGGCAACAAAGTCCCCGACAGTCCTTCGTCTTCGGCCGCCAAGGGCACGCCCGAGGCAGATCCTAAATTCACGGCCGAGCTCCAGAGGCTGCCAAACGAGGTTGCTTCATTGCGCAAGGAAGCCATCGCTCTCAAGCGCGACCCTGATCCCATGGGCGTGGACGCCAGTCAGCAGGACTGCGACGCGGATTTCGAGGGCGAGGAATTCCGAGCTGCGGGCAAAATAGCGGGCGAGGCAGGCCAACTTCCGTAGCCGGATCACTCGCGGCAAGTCTTTGGACACGCGGCTCAAAAACATGCTGCTTCAACGCCAAGTTTTCGCGCGCGGGGGCGCCGGGCAAAGGTGGTCGCGGATCTCGGGCAGGTTCTGGCTTGCGAAGGTCATCGCCGGCCTCGAGGCCGAGCGGTGCCAGCTCGCGGCGGGCGCGCCGATCGCCCCGCCAGGATCGGGGTCGGCACCGTCGGCGTGGGGCGGCGGGCCCGAGCGTCTCATCGGCGATGGGCCTCACCATTGAGAAGTGCGGCGAGGTTCTCAGGGGCATCTGCGGCAGTCCAGAACTGGCGCAGAGGCTCCGCGAGCGCCTGGCAGATGCGAAGGCGAAGGAAGAACTACATCGCGCGCGACAAAGGCTCGCGGCTGAAAGGGGGCCAGCAGTCATCAACAGCAGCAGCAGCAGCAGCAGGCAGCCGGGCAGGCCGAGCAGGATGCCGAGGCGGCCGAGGAGGCTTCTGAGTAGGGGGGCGCCGCGCAGGAGTCGGCGCAGCGGAAGGCCTGGGAGCGAGCCATTCTCTCGGAGGCGGAGGGCCCCGCGGTTCAGCGAGAGTTCCCTCGGTCTGTCCAGCAGGAGGCCCCAGGCGATGAGGGCGAGCTGCGCGAAGCTGCGAAGCGGCCATGGTGCGCCGCTTGCCTCGCGCGCCAAGCGGCTCGAGGTCGCGCGGGCGGTGCGGCGTCGCAGTAGTCTTGCGGTTATGTGTGAGCCTTCGTTTAAGCATCATGACGCGAATTTATACGTTCAACAGTGCATCGTTCAATCCATTGGCGCAAACGTTTGGGTCTGATGCTCCGGCCCTTGGAGATGAGCCATCGCGCGCGCGAGAGCATCAGGTTACGGCGCCGGGGCCTGGCAGATTTCAGAATCGCACGAAAGCAGTTTGCCGCCATGGCGCGAGGGCACCTGAGGGAGAGGCCGGAGCTGGAGCTGGGACGATCGAAGACGCGGCTGCCCAAGAGGGCGCAGGTTACGTCAGGCCCGCTTCTTGCTGAGTCAAAAGGCAGATCGGTTCAGGGGCGAGCTGTCTCAGCGTTGGTGGAGACCCGGTTCAAAGGTGACTTCGCGGCAGTCTCACCGCACCTCTTTGTCGATGAAGGCATGGGGCAGCATAGCATTTTTTGGCTGACGGCGGTGGCGCAGTATCTATTGAAAGTTCGCGCCTTGCTATGAGCGGTCACTGGCAGCGGATTTCAACCTGGATCGCGGCTTGTCGGAGCCATGGGCAGCGTCGGCAGCGCCGTCTGCCCCGACACGTGTCCAGAGCACGCCTGGCGCGACGACTGACGACCCCATCACGTCGGAGGGCTGCGCTGTGCGATCTGGGCGTGCCGGGGTTGTGGATGCGGCCGCAGTGCCCTGCGTCGATGGAAGTCGAGGCCAAAGACTCGGCGACGTGGCGCAGGGTGGCCAGGCACCCTCGGTTCATTCCTGCACTGGCGCCACCTGGTTGCGGGCGCCCCCCTTGCAATTGGCCGAGTTTTCACGAGGTCGCACGAGCGGCTACGACTGCAGAGCAGATGGCCGAGCTCTGGGACACGCGCATCCAGGGCGCAGAGTCCGAGCTGCTCGAAAGACATGATATACCAGGTCCGCGCAGAGCTGACTACGAAGGCCGCGCTTGCGAGCATCATGCGCGCTGGCAAAAGCTCCGAGCTGAGCCTCAACGCCGTCAGCCTCGGCCGTCTTGCGAACGCGCAGGGCGGGGCGCGGCGGCCACGTGGACCAGCCGAGCATTTGCGCGGCGCGCGCGCGGCGTTGTCGCCCCACACCCCCCATGAGAAGGCGGACCGGGACGAGCAGCCGAGGCGTCTCAAGAGGATTGCCAAGGAGCAGGTGGACACGGAGACCGCCCCGCGCAGGATCAGGCGGCTCGATTGGGCGCGCGTGCACCTGGATACGCTGGCGGCAGGTTTCTCCAGGGCTGGAGTAGATGCGATAGGTGGGCCCCCACTCCAGACCGACCTGCTACATGTTTAAAAAGTTGGCCCATGAGAAGGAGGCCGTGTCATGGCAAGTTAAGAGGAGGCCTGGATAATCTGGGTCCGAGGTGCCTTCTCGGACGGCGCGAAAGCGGCCAGTCGTTTTTTTTGTTGTTTTTGATCGCGCGCTCGTTTGGCCGCGCAAGCGCTTGGTCAGCAAGCTGGTTATATTGCCGCTGCCCGATGGTGGCCGCCGCTTGATAGCCACTCTGGACACGGCCCTGCGAGCGGGGGGTAGGATTCGCCGAGCTCTCACTGATGATCGGGGGGTCGGGGGCCAGGCCGGCGAGTTCTGGGGCGTTGGGGAGGGGAGGGGCGCGGGCGACTCAGCGTTCGATTCGAAACTCTCAGCTGAGGCAGCCAGGGCCAAGGGCCGGCACTCGGCGACGCTGCTGGTCGACATGGTCAATTGTTATACGATTAAGCCGTCAGCGTTGTTTCGAATATTTCGGCGCGCAGGGCTTCCACTCAGAATGGGTTGGATGGCCATCCAATCGCACATGGCCCCTCGCAGGATTGATGCGCCCAGTTCGCATTCGGAGCCGCTTGCTTCGGCCCCGGGGATCCTGGCGGGACGTTCGGCTTCCAGGCTCGTGTTCCCATGGGCAATGTTTCGCTGCGTCGGTCTGGCCCCGACCCCGAGAAAGGGAAGCAGCCCCCCGCTGCCGCCGGGGGGGCGCGCCGCCATGCGCGACCCATAGGCCAACTGTTGCAGCCTAAAACGTATGGGTCTGTTGCCGCGAATCTGGCCGAGCCCAAACTCAGGCATGAGGGATTTGTAGCGCGTTAGAAGTTCGGGTGCGAGACCTCTTGGGCAGGGGGGCTGCGCGCGGTATCGAGCTCGAGGCGCGTCGCCATGGTCAAGCGCAAGCATCGTGTGCAGGCTCTCATGAAGACGCTCACGCCCGTCCCAAACCTCGCCCCCGGTGGAATCGTGTCCAGGGTCCGCTGGGAGCGGCGATTCTATCGTTGTTTAGGGCAGGCTGGAGGTGGATCTTACAACGTCAGCTCAGGTCGGACCAAGGGGAAGTGAGTTCTCTGTTTACCACATGCCTTTGGGATGTCAAGTTTCGGCTGCGCGGGGGGCACTAGTCGTGCTCAAGTCCGCCAGAGTTTAGGCTATTCCTGATGCCAGTAGTGACGAGCAGGTCTGAGGTAGAGCGCTTCGACCCTGCCAGGCAAGGGGCGTCGAGGGCCCTGATGAGTGGCAAAGCGCGCACCCGCCCCCCCCCCCCCTCCCCGCGCGCAAGCACCAGCGTTGTGTTCTGGCCGGGCCCGGCTCCGAATTCGGATGCGACGCAGACGTCGCCTGCGGCCACCTATGGCATGAGTGCAAGAGGGCCTGGGAGCCGAACGAAAACCCAGACGAGGCTCAGCCCTTCCCAGACGACATCCTTGAGCATGTTAAGTGGCTGAAGGCTGAAGGACAAGGCGAAAGGTTTCCGCCCCTCGACATCGAACCTCTTAAGTTGGCGCACGAGGCCCCTCTCCAATCAGAGCCTGTCCCAGCCAGATATGCCTCCCAGGAGTGGGGCGCGACTCGCTTGCCCTGAGGGGTTAACACATTTCACGGACGGTTCTGGCTTGGCGAACGCCCTAACCGAAGCGCGCCGCGCCGGGCGCGCCGCGGTCGAGCCGAGTCCTGGAGGGCGGCCCATTCGGGCCATCTTCGGGCCACTTGCTGGGGCCACCCGAACCGCCCCTCGGGCCGAGCGTTTTGCTTTGATGCAAGACATGCGGCATGGCCCGATAGGCCTGGAAGTCGTCAGTGACCATCTGTTGGCGGCGCGCGAGGCCCAGCGTTGGGCCGAAGATCTGGCCGCGGGATTTAGCAGACATGCTGGCACTGGGCGAGAGATGTTTCCGATTTGCCCGTCGGATTTGCCTATCCACGAGCGGCCGTGGGTGAAATGGGCGCCCGCTCATGGAGACCTCGGCCCCCTTCTCTTCGGCGTGGGCCTCTCGAGCCGAGATCGGTCTGTGCCGCCGGTGGTGTTTGATTACATCGGGAATATGTGGGCTGATTTTTTGTGCGAAGCTCGGTGCGAGCCAGCATGATCAGGCCGCTTGAAGTGATGTCTCTTTTCTCAGGGCTCAGTTGAGCTATTTGAGCAGAAACAAACGCGCTGTTTTCTGTCTCGGGCCGTTCAGTGCGTCGCCGCACAGGCTGAGGCCACGCCCGCGTCGTCTGGGCCCCGCCGAAAGCCCATGGTTAGGCCCCCTCTCTCCATCCTCGCCCACGACCTGGAGGTTGTGGATAGCGGGGGTGCGCGATGCACTTGGTGCCGCAAGTCGGCCAAATCTCCCTTCGCGCGTGCTAAGTTGGCGCAGTCAGGGAAGGGATGCGAGCCGACGCCTCTGATTTTGTATCTCTCGGCAAGGAGAGCTGAGCGGCGCAATTGTCTCTTGCCAGGGGCGCGATGTGCCGCGGCATTTTCTGCCATCCCGGGGCTGGGCTTCACGCGCGACGGCCTGCGCGCGCAGGCCCTTGAGGCCTCTGAGTTTCGAGGTCGCCTTGTCCAGCCTTCTGACGCATGGCTTTTGCGCCGACACCGCGGCGCCCGCGCCTCGATCGAAGCTCCTGCCCGGAAGGGCCAAGCCGAGCGTGGGTCGGCGCAGTCCTGGCGCATCTCTGCTGCGCTTTCTGGACCCGGGGTCCGCTAGGGGGCGGCGCGGCTAGCGGGCAGCGGCTGCGGACGCGGCGCTGTCAGTTAGCTGCCGTCGCCCAGTAGCGGTCTCTGGCCCGTGCGCACGCGAGCTGGACCATTGCGCTGGGCATCCAGCCCGTGTCTTTTTCCTGCCTGCTTGCCAGCCTTCATTCGAATCGGACGTCGTGGCTCGGCCTGTTCCGCGTTCCCTCCTCGCTCCCCCTTTCCTTCCTCTATGCTCCCCCCTCCCTCTCTCCTCCCTATTTCCCCCCCCCTCTTCCTCTTCTGTCGGCGCTCTGCCCCCCTCTTCCTCGCCCTCCTGTTCCTCGCCCCCTTCACAGCACCGCGGT